ATATGATGATGAACACATTTTTAAGAAAGAATAAAACAAATATAAAAACCTTTCTAATAACAAGCTTGTTTATTTATCTTATTTTCAGATCTTTTAAAAGCTTGTTATTAGAAAGGTTTTTATATTTGTTTTTTTTTTCACTTTTTACTTTCTCGTATATGAAGTATAGAGAAAGTATTGTTATCGTGCAAAAAAAAAAAAAAATTTAAAAAATCGAGATTTTTGCAAATCTCGACGTTTTACACCTCCCTGAGTCGGAAAAACATAGTTTTGCAATCTTGTCCGTATGTCTGTGTATGTGTGTATTTGTGTCAAAACGATAACTTGAGTACCGTTACAGGTTGATGAAATTATAATTTTTATATATATATAAGTATTATATCAAATTTGTAGTTCTGTTGCAACTTTTCAGCGATTTCTGGTAACCGGAAGTAGAACTTATTCTTCTTTCAATTTTTCAAAAGCTTGAGTACTGTCTCGGATAGATAAATGAGATTTCAAATGTAAGTAAAAGATCTAATTCTCTGCTTTTTGTCAAATTTTGAGTTATTTCCGATTTCTCAAAAAACGCATGTAAATTTATAAAATACTAATAATATTCCGCACTATTATACACATATTCTTAGGCGTTTACTTGGTGCGCAATTCTTTTGTCTACGAGATTCTATTCTGTTTTAAAAAGCAATTAAAAGTGGATTAAAAATCATGTCTATATCCCGAGTTGCCATCACCCGTAGTGTTATATAAGAATATTCGAGAAAGTTTAGGGGAGATCACTCCTGGGTATATTATTAATGAGGTTGACACAAGATCTAATTAGGCTAAGACTAAAATATTGCGTTAAAGCCCGACTAGCAGTGTTCCCTCTAAGCTGCGCGGTTGCGCAGTACTTACAAATATGCCGCGCAGTCATTTTCTGATCCCGTTTTGTTAAACTAAGTCTTTGTGTTTGTTTTGGGCATAAAAAGGAACCATTGGTATCATTTACCGGACTGGACCAAGCCGATACTTATTTTGTGGCCACGGTTGTCGTTCCACAGGTCTAGTATATGACTTCACTCTCATCTGGGCGGGTACCAATGTCTGGGTGACACTCCCACTGCTTGATTTAATGTTTACCCAAAAACTGACCTAACAAGATGTTTCCATCATCACCGACCCCCCCCCCCTTCACACTTTCCACCCTACCCCTTGATACTATGACGATTTACTCGTCAGATGCAAATTGTACGCTACTTAAAGTGGATGTGTTTTTGCTCTGTTTGGTTTAAGGATTTATATATTATATATCCGATTCTTGGGATTATTACGTACACGTACTGTCAACGTCATTTACTGTCTCGTGTTCACATAGAAAATTGTGCGATTTTGTACAACCGCTCACATGTATCGGACCTTAAACGTCTGCTGGTTGAAATTAACACTGAGCGAGAAGAACGAATTGAGCAAACAAGCGCCAGTGGTCAAACGAAAATCAAGTTCGAAATCGAATCCTAATAGATTATGTTCCAGACACTAGGATGAACGCCTCGATGCTGACGGTACAACTGATTCATATCATAACCACATGGGGAAGTATGTTTCTATACCATAGTGTGTACCTTTTTTAAGCAGACGTTTTAACAGTAAATTTAGCAGTGTTCTCGATTGTAAAGACAAGATCGAAGAAACAATTTCTTTTAAGAGCTATGTTTATGTTTTATAGCTTCAAAGTTTCCATCAGATGACAATGCTTTGCACCGCAAATATTTTTTTAAAATCAATAACAGTTTAGAAGTCAGCTCCTAAATGTCCTCTGTTTACTTTTATCTTTCCGTTTGCGGATAAGCTTGAGGTATTATAGTCGTTCACTAAATTGAATAAGGCGCGTCCGCCGGCGCCAAGGATATCCTATGAGCTATATGGTGCACAATTTCGTTTTGAACAGTGCGATAGACCACGGGTTCCCAACCTGGGGGTCGCGACCCCCCTGGGGGTCGCGAAGGTCTTTCTGGGGGGTCGCCAACTGGTATACTAAACCTTAGTAATTTGAAACAAAACATAAATATTTAGAAGATTTTTTAAAATTCGGCTTCATTAACATCACTGGAAATGTAATAGAGAAGAAACAAAGCGCACTGTACAAAGTTGTTCTCAGTCACGAATCTATGAAATCTTCAAAACTAAAACTCATTTTGAGACGAGTCATTCGGAACACACCAAAAACATATGGAGTTCTTTCGTCGGCAAGAAGCTAGTTGCAAACGCCAGAGACTTGATCGAACTGGAAGTTTTCACCAACATTAGTGCAAGCATCAAATGAAGTCGCGATAGAAAATGCCAAGCAAAAAAAAAACAATAAGGGAAAATCTCATCAAACGCTGCATGTACGTAAATGTTAAATAACACATTTTTATCGAAATTAAGCTTTCACCATTGTTTGCTTTTCAAGTTGATAAATCAACAGACGTGAGTTCGTGTTCGCAGTTGCTGGTCTATGTCTATATTCATGCGGATGATAGCAAAGAAGAGTTGCTCTTTTGTGAAGATAGCATGGAGAAAATAAATACCATTTTTGAAACTGGATGATTAAAATGGGTTAGAACGGCTATGTGGGTTTGTACGGATGGTGCGCCATCTATGTTTAGCTCAAAATCGGGCTTTCAGAAAGCAGAAAAGATTTAGCTCCCTAACCACTGCCCTAACCAATCGACACCAATAGTCCATTGCTAGTATAAGTCGTAAATTATATAAAATCTGGAGCCTTCAAAGAACTGAGCAAAAACATTGATATAGATCACGAGGTTCTGCTCTTCTACACTGCAGTACGCTGGCTGTCAAACGAAATCTGAAATCAAATTGTTCTTGGAAGTGCAAAGGAAACAAGACTTTTTGGTATACTTAAAACGACATAGAGTGATTGGAGAGAGTTTCATACCTAGCAGATGTGTTCGAACATCAAGATAAGCTTAACCTGAAGCTTTAGGGAAAATGAACGAATATTATAACTTTCCATGATAATCTCGGGGCATTTTTATCAAAGCTGTAAAATCGGTAAAGAAAGTAAATCTTGGAAATATTGTAAATTTGAGAAACTCTGCGGTGTGGTAGATGAATCTGATTGTGATATAATTAAAATTTTGAAAGAAGCGATTTCTGGGCATCTTGAATCTCTTGAAAACGAACTGCATCGCTATTTCTCTGAGCTGAAAAAAGAAGAATCTACATTGACGCATTACCCATTCTCTTCTTCCCTTGATGTTGCCAGCATTCCCGATGAATTACAAGATTATTATTATCTGATTTACAGAATGATTCCGCGTAAAATGAAAAACTGTATACACAATTTCGGTGTAGTATTCACCATTCATACCCAAACGTAAAATTGATTGACTTTTCGAGAATATATTTTCAACACTATTCTTTGATTAAAAACAAAATTAAGATAATTATAATGACATAGGTTGGCGTTAACAAAAATGGTTGTTAATTAAAAACTTAACCACGAAGGTTTAGTGAATAGTATGCAATTTTAATCATGCTATTAAAATAGTTATCAAGAGTAGTTCATATTGAAAGTCTAATAGAAAATCTTATTTTAGTGCTTATTAATTTTCATACTAATTTCGACTTTTTAATTCTATGGGGGTCGCGGGTCACTTAATTTTTATAAAAGGGGGTCGCCACTCGAAAAAGGTTGGGAACCACTGCGATAGACTATGGATAAGAAAGGTTTCTATAGTCTTTATCTGAATCGAATCCGGGCGTCTTCCGGCGCCCCGACATGGTACTATTTGGCGCCCCGGGCCTTCCCATGTTCGCTATGGCGCCTACGTTCGTTTAAATCAGGGGTCTCCAAACTACGGCCCGCGGGCCAGATGCGGCCCGCGAGGTCCTCTCATCCGGCCCGCGTAGATATTTTTTTCCACGGAAAAAAGCGTTTGTTGGTGATGGCTGAGGAACTTTGACCAGAAAAATTAAAGACATGCCAGGAAGAAACTGGCCCCCGAACAGAAATTTGTTAGTTAATACGGCCCTCGGACTGAAAAGTTTGGAGACCTCTGGTTTAAATGAACGCATAAGACTAAGAATAAGTTGGGGTACTATGGTCTTTTACTAAGTTGAATCAGGCGGTTCCACTGACGCCTCAGAATGATGCGATTTGGAGCAGTATGCTTTTATGTTTACATTTAAGTTTGTTTATGTTTGTGTTTATTTCAATTATTTTGAGTTATTGTTTGCGGTTGTTTCTATTCGTATTTGTTTTTTGTTTGCGTTTGTGTTTTTTTTTTTGAGTTTGGTTTTGGTTAGTTGTGGTTAATTCAAAAAGTAATATATTTCCTCAACCCGAACACTACCGGGCATATGCTGATTACTAAACACACAAGTCATGGTCCTTTACAGATAGGTTTATCAGAGAGGCCAGTGCAGGGCCTGGCCAGCTAGTTATATCTAAATGTTGGTGAGGATGTGGATTTAAACAAATCATATTAGGAAGCAAGGCAATGTTAGACGCGAGAAATTGCAATAAATGCCCCTGAAAGGTTAGCTAATTTAGTTTTCAAGTCAGCTATATTAAATGTTGCACGCGTTAAACTACTGTATTTGTATTACCGTTAAGGTGTCAACACTGTTACCATTTTAGCATAGTAAGTCGACTATATTACTTGTTTAAGTATAACTCTCAAAGATTTTGTTTTTATTATTTTGATGGTATTTGTATCTCCATTTAATTGCATACGCTGCGTTAGTCATACGCATTATACTATTAATTTATCAAAATGCACGCCTTCATTATTATGCAAGCCTAAACAAATATTAACTTGCCCAAACACCGCGCTCACATTTTTTGCACAAGCCCTAGGTCCTTAGCTCATCTCTTAAAGACAGTTGTCTGCCCCTTCGTACATTATCGCTCTTGTAAGCTCAGACACATTTTGGCAATCAATGCTTTATCAAGAAAGCATTTAAACGTTAATTTAAAATGAGTTTCTTTATCATACACAAAAAAAATAATAATAAATTAAGACAAAGTTTATTCTTATATTTAAAAGGGCTAAAATAATCCATTTACCGTGTTTCTATCACAGCTACTAATGTGTTACCTCTACATCTTACAAGTGGTCCAGACAAACTATTTAAGGAAAGAAGTATCATTCATTCTTATTGAAAAGTAGTTATCTAAAACTTGTCTCATGCATTTCTGTAGATTTACAATATAAGGTTTATTTTTGTTAAAAATAAACTGTAAGTAGCTTCATAGTAAACGATTTAGGCTAATAGTATTTATTTGATCATGTTCAGTTTAGTTTCTAAATGGCTAGGTATTAAAAAAAAACAGGTTCATGTCAAAAAGTTTTGCTAGAAATAAATATGACTTAACAGGTTGCACATGATACAAATATAGTTTACAATTATTATAGGGAGAACTCCTGTGGTGGATTTTTGTCCTTACAGTTTATGGAAAAACACCTTTTAGTTTTTTCTTTCACTCAGTCAACTTGTGTGTCTCTCTCTTTCTCTCTCTCTCTCTCTATATATATATGATGTAGTCCTATAAATAGACACTATTACAAAAAATAAGTGCAATAAGATCAAGTACAGCAATTCTATAGCGTATTAAGAGCTATAATAAACAGTAGAAAAGTTACAGCTGTACAAAATCTGTTATTTGCATGCCAGTACCAACATTCCCTCCTATGCCTTGAAGTACACAAGAATATATGCACTTTACAAAATGATGGTGCAAGAGATTTAACAACTACTGCATAACTAAGAGGGAACATATGGCTAGTACCTAAGTATTTGTTTAGGTACAATACAATTTTTTATCAGTGTAGCATACACCAAAAAAAAATAATAATAAAGCTTCTACATGCTAACTTAAGAAAGCTATGCAGCTATAATACTTGGTTATTTATTAACTAAGTTATTGAATAAAACACAGAGCAGTAGATAGATCTCAATTTATTCAGAATAGGTCATTAAATTAATTAAGCCTATATTATAGAGATGATAAAACTAAAATGCTTTTTTTTCTGTTTAAAATCAAACCATCACTTACGCTTTTTCTTTTTCAGTGTAAATGTTAAAATTTAATAAAAAACCTATTAAATGTTTATGACTGCGAGATTTAAACTGCAACATTTTTCGAACAATCTTTTTTAAAACTACGAAATCAAAATTGAAAATTATCTATTTTATGGTAACATCTTTATTTAATTTTTTTAAAAATAGTTTACCTAGAAATTTTAAAAATGCTTAAAAAAGTAATTTTAAAAAAAGTATAATTTTTGTAATATGGATAGATTAAAACAAAATCCATAAATGATTAGAAAAAATACAGAATATGAAAAAATAAAAGAAGCCTGAATTTCTTTGATTCTTTGCAAAAAATATAAATGGAAAATATCGTATATTTAAATAATCCAAATTGCACAGTTATTTTATTTCATAATAAGTCTGTCACTTTTAAAACTTAAAGAAAAAAATCAGTTACATATGAAGTTTAAATTTATAAATACTATAATGCTCTATGAATCAGAAATAAATTTGATGTATTTATGGAAGACCTGTCCTGACAACATTATACCATTTTAACAACAAGAGAACACATTTTGTTGCTACCATGTCCCAGAATTAACATGAGGAAATATGGCACTCATTAAGCAAGTCTACAGGACCAAGCTTAGCCCATGTTTCAAAGATATGTTGTCAACTGTTTTACTTCTGAAGCTAATTTGTCAATTTCTTGATGATAATAGAGCAGGAGTGTATAAGATGAGATATGTCAGTTCTTTTTACAATCACAGGAAAAGTCGTCTGGTAATGACTTGAACACCCAACCACCTTCTATTTTCTTAAAGTACTGGTGGGGAAAAAGAGAAGGGTCTTATTTAAGTTATCCATAGGATGCATATATTGATAAAATCTTTACTAATTAGTAAACTAAAAATGGTATACCTTAGAAGAATATTGTATATTTAGATCATGTCGATGTTTTTCACCTTCCCTTTGAATTTCTTCAAGCTAAAAATAATTGAAGATAAACAGATAACATAATCTTAATAATTAAAAGCTTTAAAAGTTACTTATTACCCTTATTACAAAGCTTCTCTTTATTAAACAGTAAATTAACAGCTATAAAAATTATTTTTGCTTGAAATTTACCATAATTTAAAATGTTGACACATTTATCATACAAGGAAAACAATTAATTATAATCTAAACTAAATGTTTAAAATCAATTAAACTTTTTTCTTCACAAAAATCCATTTTTAAATGTAATTACTTTCCTTAATAAAGGAAACTGATATTTAAATAACTCACAATTCTTTTATGTTCAGTAGCTGTTTGGATGTCCTTTAGTTTTAGAGCTTTAGTTACATGCTGCCACAGTTTCCTAGATTCATATTCTTTTTGTTTTTCAACTGGTCGAACATACTTTTTATGAATTTGTAAAGTATTTACATCTATTTGTTTTGTTGATCCCTAAAAAGGAACATAATTTACAATAAAGCTAAAAGTGATAGCTAATACAACAATAAACAAAATAAAAAGTAAATGAAGATAATTAGCTACTTAGTTTAATTGTTTCAATAAATAATGACTTGTAATATATAGTTAACTAGCATGCCTGTTCGTGCTGCGGGGTTAGAAGAAAGTTTGACAAAAAATTTTAAGATGGGTTTATCTTAAAAAATGTCAGCACCATATTTCTTGGATCATATTTGTCAGGGCACAGGTTTGCCCACACTACCGCAGAGCATGCCCAAAGGCGTGCAGTATGAAAGCCTTAAGTGTACGTTAATCACTCTCCGTAATGATGAGGCAGAACACACTTCGACGACCGCCAGGGTGTCAGGAATGTAGTGGGATGCTCTCTGGAGCCCACGCTTCACTACGCAGGGGCGCTGTGTATGGCTCCTAACTCTGTTTAATCATTGAATGTTGAATGCCACCTAGTTAATATTGTAGGGTGCTCTTTAAAACTAATGTAGGCGCCATATTGCTCACAATGTAGTATGGGGTGCCAAATCACGAGGTACCAGTGGATGTGCCTGATTCAATTTACTGAATGACTATAATACCACATATTATCCATACTCTATCGCACTCTTTAAAATGAACGTAGGCGCCATAGTGCTCACTGGTGAGCCCGGGTGCCAAATTGGTCCCTGGCTGGGAGCCCGAAGACTTGCCTGATTTGATATAGTCAATGATTATTGCTGCCCATTGTGTCTTTGATGTATGGACTTTTAAAAAAAAGAACATACGTGCCGTAGTCACGCTATCGCCGGAGCACAGCATCTGTATCTGTTGCAGTTTTACCGCGAAATACAGTAGTACCCCTTACCCGCTATGCAGGACGCCCCCAATTAATGGATAACAAACGCGAAGTATAGCCACTGGAACTCTGGGCTCCAAACCATGTATTGACAAAAATATCAACCTTCTGGGCGCTGCCCATTTGTGATTTTAATTTTTGTATTCCACAGAAACCTTCTTGAGAGTATTCTCATCAACTCCCAAAAGATTCATGGCACTCAGATGAACAGTGTCAATAGACTTATTTTTAGATACCCTATGTAGAGAAGAATCATATTGCGCCCTACTTTCTTTTTCATATATATAGATAAACAGGTAAAACAAACTTACATTAGCATAGGTAAATTCCATAATGTTGTTCCATTCTCCTTGTACTTTACATATAACATCCCCTGTTTTTATATTTTTTGCCTCTGCTGTTATGTGATGAAGTTTTCCTCCATAAAAAGGCTGTTTCAAAGATTTTTAAAACTAGTTTTTATAAATTTAAAATTATTCAAATATGTGCATTCACAACATACTTACTTAGAGGAATTTGCCAACCTTGATAATATTTGTAATCAATAAATGGTTAAAATTAGACAACAAAAAAACTAGCATATTTTACCTTGGTATGAAAGACTATACTAGATGTATATCCTGTTTTTTCACAAACAAGTGAAACCTTATCTCCAAGCTCCACCCATGGTACTGTTAATATTGATCTTGCATAGGCACTTGGCATTCCAAATACATAGTCTTCTCCCAGTTCTTCAAACCGTAACCTAACTAGTTGAAAGTAAAAATGACCTAATCATAGTGTGTTGTGATTAGTTTTCTTAAATGTGCAATTACTTATTATTTTAAAAACTCCAACTAGTTTAACTAAAAGCTATTACTAACCTTTCCCTATCATAGAGACACCTATTGACATTCCCATAAACTTGGATTTTGTATAGATGGAAGCATTCATTCTTATTTTACCATCAAGTGTTGCAAAATAGAAGGCAGACACTGTTGAAGTAGATTTACATGTTTATCAGGCTAAGTTTAAGAACAAGCTGTTAAAAAATAAGAAAATAAAACTAATACCTTTTGTTTGCATATAAAGTTTTTAAATATACATTTGGCTTTTATGTTTTTTATTTTCTATTTTTAGTATTAAGATAAAGATATAATGAAAGACAACACAAAAGTTCAAAAAACAATAGTAGTTTATTAATTTATTCCCAGCTGATCATCTGTGAGTCCTCAAGACTAAAAGAAGTTGACTTTACACCCTAATAATTGCATGTCAATAATATTCCAACATCAAAATCACACTACACAAGTTATTATATTTATCTGTTCTCAGAAACTTGTGATATCAAAAAAATATTTGGAAACATTTGTTGTGAACACCAGCTCACCAAACTTATCACTATTGGCCTACATACTTGCTTCTCTGGTTATTGCAAACAATAATCATTAAATGAACTTTTAATAAGTTATATTGAAAAGAAGATATTTATCGTTAGAAAGGAACTAGAAAATTTGAAAGAAACTTCTGCATTAGAAATTGGTCCATTATGGTGCAGATAAATCTAGATTTAGTGATTTAAGCTCAAAAAAGATATTACCTGGTGGATGATGAGACACTTGCTCCGCTGTGTAAAGAATTTTATTTTTCTTGTGGTCTGGAGAATTGATATGCCAGGAACAATGAAATGTCTCACCAATAATTGGGTTGTATGGTTTCTTTGCAACTGAGCCCTTAAATAAAGTATAGCCGTTTTTACATAAAGGTTCTTGAGTTCAAAACACCTGATATTGCTAAAGTAAACACAGCACTGAAGTTTTACCTGCCTGCCTACATGGAAAGATGAGAGATACCATTCTAACACTGCCAGCATTCTTTTTTCAGGTTCAGGATATTCAGGAATTCTGATTAAAAATTACAAATTGTTGATCCCAATCCAACTTTTCCAATATTGCATATAATACAAAGTGTTGTTGAATAATTGTACTTTAAGAATCTTACAGCTTAAACCTCTCTGCTTTAGTGGCTTTTAAAACTAAATGCTTACATTTTCAACTATAACTAATCATGCAAGATTTTTAACAAAATCTGACTTACTTTAAAAATAAGTCTGGATGACACATGTAGTCAGCAAACATTTCCAATAAAGATCGTTTCTCTAATATAAACGTTGGCAGAACCACCTAAACCACAAATTCAAGTTGTAAAACAGTCAAAGAAAACATAGTAGAATAAGTTCCAACTTATATATGCCCTTAATGTGCCAAGAAAACCACATTTTTACTTTCTTGTTTGGAAGAAGTATTGTAGTCATGCTGAATAATTAAGTTTTTTTGTGTTTTTAACAGTTTTCACTGCTTTACCCCGCTCTTCTTTTTCATATACAGAATTTAAAGCACTGGTTCCCAAACTGTGGGTCTTAAAATAGGGGGGGGGGGGGGGGGGGGGTCGCCAACTTGGAGACTAATCCAAACAAAAATATTCAACATAATTTTAAAGTTTTTGTTATTTTGTGAAAGTTTGTTGAATTTTATTTTAACAACGAAAGCGAAAACAATTTTTAAAATTGATTTTATTTACTTTTCTCGTTAGTATATTTTTTATTCCGATTCAGCCCTTCCCTAAGAAATCAGGTTTTTGACAAGCATTTGTTTTCTGGGCTGATTTAAAAAAATACCCACAGATTATTGAAGTTTTCAGAATATTATTTGTGTTATTGAACATTTTATATAGGAAGTATCGTACATGCTAAAGAACAATTTTTGACTGAAATCAAGTTTCACCATTGTATGCTTTTCAAGTTGATGCAATCAACAGACCATGCTCACAGTTGATTGTCTCCATAAAATATTTTAGTTCAAATTATATCAAAGAAGCATCTTTTTTAGTGAACATAAACTACTACAAAAAGCGACGATATTATGGAGAAAATAAATAAGCTTTTTGAAACTGGAGGATTAAAGTTGGGAAAATGGTTGAGGGGTTTTTGTAGAGGGTCACCATCTATGCCTGGGTCAAAATTGGAAGTGAAACGGAAACAAGACCTTTTGATATACTTTACCAAGAGTGGTTGGAGAGAATAGCAGATAAATTCGAACGCAAAATAGGCTTAACCAGAAGTTTCTGGGAAAATAAGTGTATTATATCACCATTCACAATAAACTTGGAGCATGTTTCTCCAAACTATGAAATTGGTGAAAAGTAATCTTGGAAACAAATGTTGCCATATGTGCAGTGTGGTTTATGAATCTGAATGTGAAATAAATAACATTTTGAAAGAGGAGATTTCTGGGCATCCTGAATCTCTTGAAAAATTAACATCAGCCCCAGTTCCCTGAGCTGAAAGAAGTAGAAACTAAATTGACAAATAGTCCATTTTCTGCTGCCCTTGGTGTTGCCAGCATTCCCGATTAATTACTAGATAAATTCTTTGATTTGTGAATTAATTCCGCTGCATATACGTTGTTTAATGAAAGCCTGATAACACTATTTTGGTGTGGTATGTACCATTCACACAGAAAAGAATACATTGTCTGCATTTTGAGTTATAGTTCCCTTTATGCCCACATATCTTTACGAGAGTGGATTTATCAGAATTTTAACATTTCTCCAATAAAAATAAATACATTAAAGGTTAAGATTGACATTAACTGTTAACTGAAACGCAACCACAAATTTATTTATTATTGGCTTTTTAATAGTGTGTATGCGTGTGTGTGTGTGTGAAGGGGGGGGGGGGGGGGTCGCGGGTCACTCAACTATTATAAAAGGGGATCGCCACTAGAAAAGTTTGGGAACCTGTGACATAAAGGATGATTGTAACTGTGCAAAAATCGTGGGGAAAAAACTCGAGTAAATTGACTAAAGTTACCAAGTAACAAATAAATTATATTTTAAAGCCAATATGAATGATATAAAATTAAGAAACACTGAAATTTCTTCAACTTATTAATAGTAATGATGTAATAAAGAAAAATTTAATATCAAACCTTAGTCAAATCCATCCCTAGCTTTAATTGAGATAATAAATGTAAGATAACACTTTTATTTTCTTCAACTCCTTCTAAATCTGAATCAGAGTGATTGTCTTCATCTGGCATCTCATCTTCAAAATTTGGGGCATTATCTTCAACTGATAAAGATTTCAGATAAAAAAGGTTGGTTACAGATTTGTTTCAAAACTTGGTATTACTTGCGTTATATAAATTATAAGTGGGTAGCCTATATTAAAATATGAATTACCTGTAGTTTCCATAATTCCTCCAGTGATGAGCAGTGCTGTAGATTTTGTAATTTGAGATCTAAACAAGGTTAATAATGATTAATATGCATGCAGGATCATTTATTTATGAAGGTTTATGGTATTTAGATTTACCCAGAAAAGATAAAGTTGACTAATTTTAATGCTTATTTTTAAAAACAGTTTATAAAATTTTTTTTGGAGGGAGGAGAAATAATGCATAATTAAAAAGTATAGTGTACTAAAATTACTATAAAGTTAATCTATTCCTATGTAATTCTGCTTGTCTTATTTAACAAAGACTTAATATATTATTATATATGACAATATATTATGTACTATGTTGAGGCTTTATAAAAGTAACACTCGGTTACCATTTGTGACGTTAACAAAAAATTTAGATTTTAGCCCCCCCCCCCTCCCATATTGTGAATGTCCAAAATATTTTAGTAGACCTTTCAAAATGTACTACCAATTTTCGATATTTTTAGGAATGTTTATTTTTAGGCCCAAATATTTTTAAGTAGATTAGAACGTTTTAAATGGCGAAGTATAAAACAGAGATGTAACCAACCTCCAACGAACAAAGCGGAAATTTATTGAGGGGGGGGGGGGGGGGAAGAAGAGAAGGTGTGCAGTGCCCAGAGCGATATATATGGGGGGGGGGGGGGGGGTCGTTTGGCAGAAATGTTTTTCATTATATAGCTCAAATAAGGAAATTTCACTCGCGGTCATCACTTAGCCCTCGTCGAGGGTTTTGAGTCGACCGACAGTTTTTCCGTACAGTCTAGCCATTTACCTAGGATCATGCAAAAAATTAGCCTGATGTACAGAGGGTAAGTGCCCTGAAATCTTTGTTGAAATTACCCTCTGTTTTTCCCATAAAATACAAAGATTATATAGGGAAATACGACTGGTCAGTTTTGACCACTTTACTTTACCAGTTTTCCCAGATATGCAGAGTTTTTATGACACCCCTAGGCGTTCTTCTACCACTTCACAAAATATCAAGGGGGGTCGTTCAGCAAATTTTTTTTATTGTTATATAGCCTATATAAGGCACGGGTCAGTCGAGGTCAGTTTTGACCCCCTTGTGGACTTTTTGGCCAACCGGCACTGGCCTTCGTGTTCAGGAGCCTACCAAATTTGAAGCGCCTGCGGTGCCAGGAAGTGCCCTATTGGGCACCCGAGCACTTTGCTTTATATATAGATTTTCACATTAAACAAGTTGGAAATGGTGGATTTGGGGGGGACACCTATTTCTGTGACCTCAGCATATGGTCAGACCAAAATCGGTGTATCAAGAGACAAAAACATGTTGTCAGAGGTGTGGCTTCTTTTTGAGATGATGTGTGGCAGTAGGGAGGGGAGGGGAAAGATAAAAATCATCAAACAAACGTGACGTAAGTAATGGATGACCCCCGAAACCCACAATCATCCAAGGATAACAGGTAGTCTAGTTAATCATTAAAAATCTCAACATTACTTATGATATGGATGACGCAAGTAAAGATATAAATAAATTATTTACATGTTGGGAATTTTTTTTTTAAAGAACACAAGCACTGTCAAGTCATCTTTTTCTTCTCACATGCAGTATACAAGTTTAATTTTTGTGTTTTAAAATGTAAGCACTTTGATGTTAAATTTAATGTGGACATCCACATGGACCCAAACTGGCAATAAATGGAATCTTTATACCAAGCAGATTAATTAGCTACATTAAAAAGGCAATTTAAAATTTTAACAAGTTAAATATTTTTCAAAACCATTCAAACTAGCTCCAAATGAAAAGTAACTAATTTCATGATGGAGAGTCACAATTGTGTGACATAATGATAATCTCCTACAATCATTAATAATCATTTAACTGTAATATTCACAAATTCAAGTTTAAAAAAAAGGAAAATGTTCTCCAAGCTGGAACAAATGCAAAACCTTCACAATAGCAACATACATTAAAATGTATATACTTACAAATAGCTATATATCCCGAATTAGTTTGTTTTTAAAAAGAAAATAATTTTAAATGAAAACCCAAATCTTCACATTAATTTAATTAGTCATTTAAAATTGAAAAGTCACTAAAATAGGTTTAGTTTGATTATGTTTAAAAATTGGGAGAATAAAATACTGTTTGTATTGAGTGACAGGTGTGGCTTTGGCTCCTAAATTTGTTGTCAATCTTCTCTTCCACTCCACCAACACACCTCTCTTCATAATAACTAAGTCATTGTTCATACCCCCACTCTCCTAACACAAAACATTTATACCTAGACCTTTTAAACTTACTTTTAACAAAAACACTAATTAGACCACATACTACATGGGGAACCTACATCCAGATATTAGACCTAGATCCTACACTTGGGTGCTAACTTGATATTTGTGAAAGACAAAGTTTCCCATAAATGGAATAGCAAAACAATTACATAGCCAGGCTAAATAACCAACTACAAATTTTGGATTATAAACTATTCATTACCTCTATATACCTAATCAGATTGTTTCATGCTTTGGCTAATAACTTGATTATTTTTTCCTTTCTTATTTTTAAATTTCTATTAACTTGGTAGTGGAGGGGGGAAGGGGGTGTAGATATGCATATATGCTTTTCATTTAATTAACTAATAGTGAACTCTTAGCAAAATCTCCAGTTCCTATTCAATTCTTTGTTAAGTAATCACATTTTTAACAGATAACTCACATAGGCTTGTCTGATATTTGAATAGATTCTCTCATCTGAAACATAAAAAAATATATAGGTATGATATATTTATATATACCTATATAGACCCAAATATTTACTTATACATTTATATCTACATATGTGCATATATATGTGTATATATATGTGCGGGTCTGAGTAGCCTCAGTCTGAGTAGAGCAATAGACTGAGTCCACCCAGCTCACATTAGGGAAAGTATAGGTGGCTGGATAGAGTGCTGGACATACTATACCTTCATTTGCAGAGGTTACCCCATAGACCGTTAGGTTTGAAAGGGAACTTGAATTACTTTGTATATGTGTATATCTATATATGTATTTATATATATATGCAGATGTATCTACCTATATATATATATATATGTATGTATAAATATGTATATACATATGTATATATACATATGTATAAATATATATATATGCAGATGTATCTATATATATATATGCAGATGTATCTATATATATATATATATATATGTATGTATTCATATGTATATACATATGTATATATATATATATAAATTATATATATATATATATGTATAAATTATATATATATGGAAAAATTATATATATATATATATATATATATATATATATATATATATATATATATATATATATATATATGTATCTTTTTGTGATGGCTGAGGAACTTTGCCCAGAAAAATCAAAGACATGCCTGAAAGAAACTGGCCCCCGAACTGAAATTTGATACTTAATGCGGCCCTCAGACTGAAAAGTTTGGAGACCCCTGCTCTAGCATTTTAAAATGATTTTTTGCTAATATTTTTAAAATTGTAGCAGGTTTCAAAAGTTAAGTCTGTTTGCTAGTTTTAAAAGTCTAGCAGCCAAACCAACTCTCTGTGCACACAGATATTAACTGGAGTTTTATTTTGGGCTCTTACATTTATTATTGACAATTATTTTAATGTGTAAGTCTTTTATGGTTGCTTGTATCACATCTGCATTTGTAGAGTAATATAAGCCTGTCAATTACTATGAGTGAGACGTAATACATTAACAATTACATGAGTATACATTTCAAAACAAGAAAAATGCAATGTAATAAAAAGTTTGTTTATATTTTATTTACTCTTTAATACAAAAAAAACATGAAAAAAACCATTAAAATAGGTAAAATGTTTGAAAAATGAGGCAAATCATTCTAGAAATGCTTTATGTCTGCGAGTATTACAGGTATTATTATGTTTGACGGCTTTTATGTTTCTTCAAGAGTGTTTCTTCTGCTCTTGTACAACTGGACAGGGGCTAAAGATGGGATCTTAATGTTGCGAACCAATTTTTAGCAATAACCTGCATGGATTATTTCTCTGTCAAAGTCAGATATGTCCCTACACTAAAAACATTTAGATATGAAGTTGCATCTTTCTCCCAACACTTTTTTTACCTTTTACAAGCAGAGGGGTCACCAAGAGGGGTGACAAAAAATTTAAAAGCTGATTTTATGCTGCAGTTTTGAATTATACACAGTCTAAACTAAGAATTGTAATGGCTACACGACTTTACATACTGATTTAACTCTATTCTACCTTGATTATTAACTGTAAAACATATACTCTTAAGAAACAACGACAGGCAAAACTGCTTTCCAGATTTTCATAGATGGGGGGGAGGGGCGCCTTTTTCAAGACTAAAATTGGAAGAATTTACACTAGATTGGTGTAAACGTTACCACTCATAAAAACAACCAGATTGTATTAAAATGTATTGTACGATTGTTTAACCGTAAAATACGTTAGTGACTTTTATCAAGATGGTGTATTGGGGGGGCACTTTTAGGCTAAATAATATCGCAAAATTACACTGGATTTTGAGTAAACACCTTTAGCACTTAGACTAGTGTAACATTTTTTTAAAAGTTAGTTACGATCAAATTGGCTCTACAAACTTTGTCCAAGATGGTTGGGAGGTGTGTGTGTGTGTGAGGGGTGCGGGCGCTTTTTTCGCGAACTCTTTTAACAGTTAGAAAAGAAACCAATTGTATTAACACGAAATGTATAATTTTACTAGCCATTTTTGTTAAGAAATGACGCGACTAGTTCTTTGTAAGATTCTTATGATTCTCTCAACTTGGACGAGAGAGATCAGATACTTTTACATGATTGCATTACATCTTGTCTGGATCACTGTATTAAAGAGAAATAAATAGCACGGATTCTTGAATCACAATCTGATCACTAAAATAGCATACAGTCGGAGCGAGTGGGCGGAAGACAACACTCTTGTCGAAATTTTAAGAGCTAAAAAAGTAAGTATATTCTACCGAATAAATCATTGTTTTATTGCTTGTTTCATAACAACTGCAATTTTCATGTAGTTTAGGCAACTAGACCTACTAAACCATGTAAAACAATGGTACAACACAACAACAGATGATGCTTTGTCACTTTGTCCAACCTAACTGATAATTTAAAACTATAATACTCTATTATCGAAATTGTTCAAAAGATACAACCAAAAGAAGAGCAAATAAGCTTGCACCGTATACAAACTACACTCTAAAGCAGAGGTTCTTAACCTTTTTGTGGGTACCGAATCATACCAGTTTCATATGCGCCTTCACCAAATCCTTCTTAATAGTTTTATTGTCCACATTGACAAAATCTGATCGTGAATCATATATTGGTGTGTGTCTTGACCTCCGCCGAAGCTCTGAGACTTACAAACCAGTCAACAAAATACCCATGTCATATCCCAATGCGAACAATAAATGTTTCTGATAAGTTGCTATTCTATGTCACTTGTATGTCCTTATTCTAACAAACTTATAATCCAACTATATACCACATCACAACTGAGATCGTTCCAAAAATAGAACATAAAAGGCTCGTCTAAACCAGGGGTCGGCAACCTTTTGAAGCGGAAGAGCCAAAAGTTACAATTTTAAAAATTTCCCTGGTTTTAAAGAGCCACTAACATTTTTTTTTAATTCAAATATTTTATTTTTTTATTAAGATTATTAGTATTTGTGCAAGGAGCTGGAGAGCCGCAACTTGATATCAAAAGAGCCGCATGCGGCTCGCGAGCCGCAGGTTGCCGACCCCTGATCTAAACAAATTAGCGATTGCTACAAACCACCCTCTAACTCAGATCAGGCATATTTTTTTTACTGACATTACTAATCTTTCGTAAAAGGAAAACACATCTTAATGGAGGCGCGGCCGCAAATTGAAAGTTCGCCCCGGGAGCCGGGAAGGGTCGCTACGCCTGTTTACAAGGTCAACAGTATTTCTAGTTGTCTTGTCACTCGATGTAGGATTTTTCTAATTAGTTTTAAACTTTTTGTGCTAGTTTAGGCCCGTTTACAACAGCAATAGATGAACAGTCCTTCAACAGGCCTAGAACTGTAGTGACACCCCCATCTCTACAATGGGAGATAATGAAAGATAACTATTTTGGGCAGCTACTAACATAGTTTTTACACTCTAGACAGTCAAGAGAACTAAAAGCTTGACCTTGTGTGAGTACACTGTCATATTCAGATAAACTGAGCACACTTGAGTAGTGTACTTAATGGAGGCAGGTCACTTGGTAGCAGACTATCATCGATTAATGAAAACGATACCATCATGAAATGTGAAAAAGTTTTTGAACTTGTACTTTGATTGGTCAGGCTGGCCTTTTGAAAGGCTAAGACTTCTTTGGTCTCTTGTAAGGCAAGACTGGTCTGTTGAGAGAGGATGACCTCTTCAAAGGTGACAACTATCTTTTCATGGTAGGTCAGGCTGTAATGTTTTACGGCTATTGAAATGACAACTAGTTTACTAAGTTCAAGCAAATTTCTCCCTCTGCTGTATGGTTGCATCTGTAAATAACAAATACAGTTTAAAATCGTATGATTACATAATTTCAAGTTTGATCTTAAATCCAAACATGTAAAACTATCACTGTAGCATACTAATCACAAAGCTTATGTTTTTTAAGTCTTAACCATTAATAAAGTATGATCCTTAACTGCATAGCCATTCAATATTTGGCATATTATAATCAAAATTAATCCTAAAAGTATTTGCTAAAGACAACTTACCATGAAGGATTTAGGATGACTTTATACTCTGTGAAATAAGTAAAACAAATTTGATTCTAAAACATTCTTCTTAATATCAAGTTCAAAGTAGTCTAATAAACTAATTTTAAGTTCAACATAGCTTATTTTAAAATAACCCATAGGCCAAACATTTTGCAACCTGTACTACAATATAAAACACTTTTTATCAAGAATATAAACCCTCAATCTAAAGCTAGTTATGAATTAAAATAATTAAAATTATTACTAAAGCTTGTGGAAACTTGATTTGAGTAATCTATTTTTAATTGATCTCTATTTTCAAAGCATTAGTCTAACAGAAATGTAAACAGTCTGGTTCTCTAAAATCTAACAGGAAGAGACTACATTAAACAAATACTATTTGTTCATTTTTCTTTAAAATGATAAATGTGATCAAACATAATTAATCAAACATCCTTACCTTTAAATATGTTGACTGCTTTGGTGTTAAATTGTGTGATAGCACCATGCGACTGTTTTGGAGATCACAAGTTTACTGACAGATATCGCGAGGTTCATTTTGCACAGAGATTTTTAGAACTAAAATAATAGGCTATTAGTTCAAATGATTATATCAGGTTAATCATTTGCCAAACTACAATAATAGTTTCAGGGATTATGGGGAATCATACCGGCTTTTGATTTGTTGTAAAAAACAGAACATTGATTTTTTTAAGTTAATTGGTTTGCGTGTGTCTGTGTGAGTCTGTGTGTATGAATATAAATGATAATATGTATACTTTTGTTTATATATAAAAGCAAAGTGGAATCTGAATTAGCTGGGGTATTCGCAGGCAAATATCAGAGGAAATGTTCGTAACAAAGTATGCATTAAAATTCAAACCAATTGGAGAACTATAATCATCTAAATAATCCTGTTAACTAAAACTGAGCTTGACTGACTGTGACCTTATATAAACAACAAGTGCTTTAATTAGATCAACCACTTGCAGATGTAACACAAATTTAATATGAAATGGGCATAACTAGATCAAGAATTTAAACTTAATTTCATCATTTTTTTTAACAACATTAAAAAAATAAGCAAAGAAACCATTTTGATAAAGATATATTTTAGAAACCAGAAACAGAGTAAAGTAACTTTCCAGTTATCGGAGGTCACTCAAAAATTGAAAGCAATTAAAGTATAAAAATAAAATCCTTTACTTCTGTTTGGAATTTTATCAACCGAACTAAATCAGAACTCATGTTATGGTGTTCATAAGGAAAAATAATAAAGTATCACTTTTGGTTTCCGAAAATGGTTCATAATTTAAAAGTAACATGAGCATACAATGTACTACTTGTATGTGAAATTTAGTCCACCTAACTTATACGGTACTAAAGTTATAGTGTTACAGAAACACACACCCAAAATTGTTAAACATTTTTTTTACTCAGAGAGGTGTTAAACAGCGAGATTTGTGAAAATCTCGAGATCGAATTTATATAATAATGAACTTAAAAGGAGAAGAAATATGATTCTTTTTCAAACTATAATTGATGAACTACTATTTAAATAATTAAAACTTTAAGTGTGGGTCAATTATTGAATTCTAATAAAGGTATTCAATACATAATAAAGAGCCCCACGCCTAAATAGTAATTCATTATTATATATTTAAAAATCATTTATTTTCTCCTTTTTAGTGCATTATTACATAAAAGATTGTTATAAAAAAAATGTGTGCTTAGTTTTAAAAAACCCAGAAATTTTAAAGTATGAAATACATTTTATAAATTTTTTAAGGTGTGTTTTCAAACTAAACGATATTAATTTATAGGTTCTTAGGATGAGGAGCAATCATTGTTAACAATCAAAAAAAAAAAAGAACATCTAACCAATGTTTCATTTTTAAAAAATAACTAACTAGTAAAGCGCGCCCCACATGGCCTTACGTGTTATAAGTTATGTAACAGCAAAACCACAATCATGGCTTGGCGCGCTTTAAGGATTAATATTCAAACCCAAAACTCTGGTTCTAATATAAGAATTTCCTTGAAAAATTTGTTTATTTAACTTTTACCTCTGCTGTTTGTAGAATGTTGATACAATCTTGTATACATTGTAGTGTTGCTGCTGAAGTTGCTTTTAACAATAACAAATCCTAAATAGAAATATATTAAATTATACATCATTATACAGTATAGCATGCATGTTGAATAATATCAGTAGGAAAGAAGTTCTGGGTGTAAGTATATGTTCTGATGCCAAATGTACATTTTCTGTTCATTAAGCCTTCCATACTTCTAGTTCAGGGGTCGGCAACTGCGGCTCAAGAGCCGCATGCGGCTCTTTTGGTGTCAAGATGCTGCTCTTCAGCTCCATGCGCAAATATTAATAATTTTTATATTTTATTTTTAAAACTCATAAATTCTTTTTTTTAACGTATAAACAATAAAGACTCGCTATTCTATTAGAATATTTAGTTACTCCCTATTTCAATGTACTTCCTATTTATTTGTCCATCCCAAATTGAAACATTAAACTTCATGGTAGATATCACAAAGAAACTAAACGAGCTAAATGTACAACTGCAAGGAAAAGAAAACCCAGCATATGCCTTGTTTAAAGAAGTGGATTGTTTTGAAAAAACATTTTTTTTGTTGTTGAAGATAAACAGAGTGGTAAATTACTTAATTTTGAAAAATCTGAAAAAAATATCATGATGAAACCAATGTTACTATTAACATAAATCACATCAGCATTACTATAAACAAAATGAAGGATGGGTTCACTGAGAGATTTGAGCAATTAAAAACAAATGCAAGTACTCTGACGTTCATAATAGATCCTCTCAACACAAAAACAAATTAGATTAACTTTGAGGAATTTGGAATAGATGTTGGATATCTTCAAATGCAACTGCAGGATATGAAAACCAAACATTTGTGGAGTGGTAAGTTCACAGATCTCAAGAGCAAGTTAGAACATTTGCCTTTGGGGGTCCAGTAAAACATGCATGTTTCGCTGCACAACTGAACAGCTCTAAAAGAAATGCCATGAGTTGAGGCACTATTATGTAACGCATGGGATAGTCTTGCAAGATGCTACAGTGAGGTGAAAAAGGTGGCATTTGGAGTGCTGAGAGTACATTGGCCGGCCAATGCGCGCACTGGCCGGGGTGTCCAGGCCAAAGTTCTATCTAGACTAAGTTGTGATAGCGTTTTCATTATTCTGGGTGCTTGCATTGTGAGTAACGTATTGTTTAGCTCTTGTTTGTATAGCATTCTATATGCAAGGCGACATGGATCAAAAGGGCCGTCAGACCATGAGACAGACATAGCAGATGGCTGTCAAAAGAAAAAAAATGTAAATCCATGTTAGTTTCCATATATGGGCTACAACTGTAAGTGACAGCCTCCTCCATGATGACAATCATCAAAGAAGAAAATCAAAGACAGTCGGCGTAACTGACCACGTGCAACAAGACGGAATGTTCAAAAGACTTTGCCGCGTTCCTTGTAAGTTGAACAATAATGTCCAAGCGACTTGAGATGGCGTGGGCGTCAGAAACCATATTTCCCCAATAAAAGGGGAGTACCAAATAAAGCAGACCCATCACCGCGCCTTGACTGGACTGCATGATAAATACCGACAGAATTGCATTCTTTTGGATCATGTGGCAACGATGTCCATGCTATGTATGGAATACCCAATGAAGCAGACGAAGGGTACGGAGGAAATATTACCTGCAGTTTATGTCACAACAAACAAGACATCATGGAACACAGGTCAGCAGCTCATACTAGCTTGCAAACTCAAGGTGTTAAGATGCTTAAAACATCAAATACAAAATTTAAAGATGCTGAAGTGGGTGACAACAGATGTTGACAGAGATCGCGGTGATCCCCGAAGCGTGATTACAGTTGTCATGAGCGTCGAGGGCGGTTTCTACAAATTGGGAACGGAACATGGTGTTCTAAAACAACTGTATGCTAGAAGTGAGTTTTCAATTCTTCACGAAAAACTGCTCTTATTGTCGTCAGTTGGCACTGAGGAAAAATCACTACAAACCATCCCATCTTCATAATCATTGACTGGGGGCCAAGGCTACACTCGCTGCAATTGCACAACCAAGTGCACAACAAATCGCTGCAAGTGTAAAAATAACAAGCTACTATGTAATTCTAAATGCCATAAAAGTTCAACTTGTTGTAACAAATGATAATATTGATTGATTGAGACTATAGTACAATAAAAAATATTTGAATGTTTCAGTCATTTACTTTAATTAATAATCAATAAAAACTTAATTTCATGATCCTTACGGCATAAAAATAACAAAAATCTGCTCATGATCTTCTAATTCGGACTTTGGACGGTCATCCCTAGCCAGCTGATCTTCTAATTAAAACTTTGGCCGGTCCACCATGGCATGTCCGCGGACTGTCCAGTCAAAGGCCGAAATCAAGAGCTATTTCAGACTTTGGCCAGTCAACCATGGCCAGTCCGCGGATTGGCCGGCCAAAGCCCGAAATCAAGCAAGGTTTCGGACTTTGACCGGTCAATGGGAGGCGATATTGGCCAATGCGAGCATTGGATGACTTCGGGCTTTGACCGTAACATTATATATATATATATATATATATATATATATATATATATATATATATATATTTTTTTTTTAGCATACCCGTCCCGCGCGTTCCCGCTGGGATAGAAGAAGGGTTTCATCTATACGTTACCAATCCTATATTCTTAGACGCGTAACCTTGTTTTCTAAAAGTTAGTTATTTAAATAAAAACAATGCCTGCACTTGGATCATAAATACCGGGACACGGGTTTACCTACACTACTGCGTGAAAACCTTATGTGTACATTAATCACTCACCGAAATAATCAGGTAGAACACACTTCAGTGACCACCCATGTGTCAGGGACGTAGAGGGGCACCCCCTCTCGATTACACTACCGCATAGGCGCCACATACGGCCCCTGGCTCCTTAAAACTAACAGGCGCCATCGTGCCAAATAGCATCCTGTTAACAATGATGCATATTGCGTCATTCGCAAAAGTGACACAAATGAACAGGATTATTTTCTTTAGCACGTAAAAAAAGTATTTAAAGTGTTTTAAACATCAGTGTGACTGGTGCAATATGTTAGCATTACTAATAGTCTATTATTAGATGCTCGATCTCAATTTCTGATTGTTTTTCTAAAAATAGATGCTAATTGCATCATTCGCAAAGTGACAAAACTGTTTTTTTACGGACAAAAAGAAGCACCCCAATTAATAATCTAAAATTGGTTAGTTTTTCTGATTATCAAAATAAAACGTATTACATGGCCCTCAGCAGCCCATGTGAGCCTTTGGGGGCCGAAACAGACATTTTTGTTTGCAGCTAAATCGCACGCCTGATTCAATTTAGGGAGCGTTTGTAACGTCACATCCAATCCATTGTCTTTCACACTGTTTAGACCCAACGTAGTCGCCATAGGGCTCACGGTAAAGAGCAGGGCGCCAAATGGCATCCAGCCGGGGGGCCTCCCATGCAAAATTAAATCCCCCCTCCCACCACCATCCACCCACTCCCACCCCAGAAACCTTCTCGGGAGTATTCATCAACTCCCTAAAGTTTTATGCCACCCGGATAAACTGTGTCAAACCAAAATCGACTTTATTTTTATATACCGTATATAGAGAAAAATCGAGCCCTCCCGTGGCGCCACCCTTGCGACATTAAATATGATTTTTTTACAGAACCATTCCCCAGAGTGTTCTAATGAACTCCCTAAAGTTTGATGGCAATCGGATGAACGCCGTGAAACCGTAATCGAAGTTTATTTTTATATACCGTATATAGAGAAAATTGCACCCCCTGTGGCGCCGCCCTTGCGAAAATAAAAATGCCTTTTTTACAGAACCCTTCCCTGGAGTGTTCTAATCAAGTCCCTGGAGTTTGATGGATATCGGATAAACGTTGTGAGACCGCAATCGACTTTTATTTTTATATACCATATATAGAGAGAAAACAAATCGCGCCCTACAGGGGCGCCACCCCTGCGAATTTGAAAATGTTTTTAGCGCAGAAACCTCCCCAAGAATATTCTCAACATGTTCTCAAAGTTTCATGGTGATCTTGTGAAAGGTGTCACTGCAATTCACTTTTATAATTTTTTTTATACCGTATATAGAGAAAAATCGCACCCTCCCGTGGCGCCGCCCTTGCGATATTAAAAATGATTTTTTTACAGAACCCTTCCCTGAATTGCTCTAATCAACTCCCCAAAGTTTGACGGCGATTGGATGAACAGTGTGAATCTGCAATCGACTCTTTTTTTATATATATCGTATATTGAGAGAAAACAAATCGCGCCCTACCGGGAAAAAAAAATTTTCCGCAGAAACCTCCCCAGGAATATTCTTAACAACTTCCCAAAGTTCGTCGCCGATGTGATAAGAGGTGTAGTAATGCATAAAAGACACACAGACACACACACAGACACATTGCTTTTTATATATATAGATAGATATATAATCCTAATCAAATATAGTATTGAAATAAAAATGTTAGTGGCTCTTTAAAACTGGGAAATTTTGTAAACTGTAACTTTTCGCTCTTCCGTCTCAAAAGGATGCCGACCCCTGTTCTAGTTTGATCATCTAACATGCAGGCTAACATGGATTTAAGAATGGTGGTAGGTATTAGAATTAATTCCTAGTTAGATGGTAAGTTTAAATTCATATTGATTTAATTTAACAATGTTTTCTAGATATTTAAATATTAAAAAATCTCCATTTTGGAAACTGTTTCATCATGTGATAACACAAATAAAGCTTTGGATTTTTTTCAACTATGACTATGCTGTCTTAAGTTTGAGAACTATTCATATTAGAATAGTACTGATCCATCAACATAATCTTCTACAAATAAACTTTTTTCAAATAAACAAAACCTCAGAATAAGAATACATGTGATTTAATGACAAATTAGTGTAATAAAATGATGGATGTTGTGAATTTCCAGTAGCGTTAGAAATCATTTCATGGATTTTTAAAAAAAATTGGATGAATGGTTTTTTTAAGTAATGATCTGGCTATCTTAATTTTTCAGATTTTTAAAGAAATTGTTTATATATAGATAATAAACCACAAGCTACAGATCCAGTATAAAGCAGTATATTTTTAATAACTAAATACTAGAATATAACTTAATTTAGAATATTAACATTAGAAGATTTTAAATACACTCAAAATAAGACAAAGTTTTCTTTCATAGATATAATTGTAAAAAAATATTTATTGATAAAGATAGCAATTTTTAATGTAATCAACCCCACACAATTTAATTTCTATAAAAATCCTTTAACAACTATAAACTTACAGTGTCTAAAGAATTCAGAAAATGTCCTGATGCTGGTAAGGCCTAAAAAAATGGGTAGAAAACTAAGCATTAAAAATCTGGACAGAAGCAAAAAAATAAAGCAATGTATGAAAATCAAAGAAACAACAGAAACTTTGTTTTTAACTAGCAGACAACTATAGAGTCCTTTCATATGACGTCACGTCCGTTCTTGATACCTACGTCTGCCACCACGGTGGTGTACACCAGACGTAAACACAATCAGCTGTTCACCAGCGCTGGACGCGTTCACTGTATGTAAGGAACCGCAAAAAATACGTTAAAAAACTTGAACTCTTAGGAATTGAAGATCCTTATACTGTTATTGACAGTTTCGTAGATAATATAAATATGTGGCCAAAATTTCTAAATAAAAATACTGTTAGTAATACTGTTTGCGTTTAGAGTTTAAGTAGACGAATCTGATCAAATGCAGTTCTCGATACTTTGTTTCAGGTAAGGACAGTAAAATAATAAACTTCATTTTAATTATAAAAGATAACTATTAATAAAACAAATATGCTCGACCTTCACAAATACTAATAGTAAAAGACAAAGTCAAAAGTAATAATAAGAATAATAAGATCTAATAGTAGGCCTAATAATAGATCTAGAATCTAGCTCTAAACATGGCGTAAACAAAATTCGGACCACAGATCTAGACTCTGGAATTAGGGTGACTGGCTCCGCTGGGTAGACATAGAATCTAGAATCTACTTCTTTACTTAAATTTAATTACAAAATTTAGATCTACATTCGATTAAAAAAACACCCATAATAAATCAAAAGTAGTCATAGTAGGCCTAATAAAGCATTTAATTGTCTCTAAGATCTAAAATCTCGCTCTACAATCTAATCCTTTTTTTAGCAAACGAAATTTTCTAAAATTGAAATAGATTGTATGACTAGACTTAGATCTAGAATCTGCTACTTAAATTAAATTTTAAATTTTTTATACAAGCATGTAATTGATAATATTGTAGTAGAAGGCTTTGATAAATTACTAAGGCCTACCTACTTTGTGTCTTTTTACAGCAATATGTATCTGAAACTGGACTGAGTTTAATTAAATTAAAATGCATATCTAGTAATTAGTCTACTAAGTTTATGTAGCCTAGTAGTAGAATCTAGATCATACCAGCCAACAACAAATTACCACATTATTATTATTTGGTTAATAATTAGGCTAATTTTTTTTAATCCACTGTTTATAAAAGAAACAAATCAAGCTAGAAACATTATAAGACTGAGATGGTTTAGAATAATAACAATGGACCCAGTCTACAATTGATACACTTGCAGGTCTACATAGGGCCTACAGTCTAGTAGTTTACAGTAGGCACCTAGTGTGTAGCTAGTATACTAGTCAGTGTGTAGCTGTCCGAGTTAAGATTTTTAATGCCTTAATGCTTTCTCCTGATAAGCCACGTGTGCTATAAATGACATAACATGAAATCGAGGTGAGAAATGTTGATGGGAGAGCAGTGGGACTTTCCCCTTTGTTCTCCCTGCTGGGCCCTGAGGGTATCACGGAGGTGAGAAATTTTCAGGGGAGGGCAGTGGTACTGACTCCTCTTTGGTTTTATTGTGGGCTAGAAAAGTGTGGGGGCTGGCCATCATGAGGGTTGAACATCAGTATTAATGTGTCTGATCACTTCCCTGCTGGATTATAAGGGTCTTAAATTGTATAACATGCTACCCAGATTGGCTGAGATCTAAGAACAGCAGTGGTTATTACCCATGAATTATATTAGCCGTTGTAGTGTGGGTTTTGTAGGAGTTAAGTGGTCTCACGTTTGCTACAGTAGCGAGGTTGCACTAGATCTATTGCTACTAAATCTTTTACTTAACAGAGAATCTATAATCTACATTAACCAGATTTAGATAACCTATAATATACCTACTTAAACTCTAAACGCAGTATTACTAACAGAATTTTTATTTAGAAATTTCGGCAACATATTTATATTATCTACGAAACTGTCAATAACAATATAAGGATCTTCAATTCCAAAGATTTCAAGTTTTTAAACATATTTTTCCTTTTCCGCGGGTGCGGTTCTTTACATACAGTGAACCCATCCAGCGTTGGTGAACAGCTGATTGTGTTTACGTCCGGTGTACACCACCGTGGCGGCCGACGCAGGTATCACGTGATTTAGGTCACGTGTTTGCAAGGACTCTATAGGATAATTAAAATTGATAGTATACAATATCACACTTACAGAAATTTTATCTTCAAGATGTTTAGCATAATCATCAGCTTCCATGAAAAAATCTTTAACTTCAATCAGAGCCTCTTCCCTAGGTGATTTTTTACTGTTAAAAAAATGAATGTCTAAAAATAATGGCAAAAAAAAAAAACAACTCAGGAGTATGTTTTAATAACAACCTGGGAAAAAAAATGGCATTCAATCCTATGATTAATAACCATTATATAACTTAAAGATTTTACTTACATTATATGTAAACTTTCATGTGATCCTTTTGATCTTTTGAAAGAATCTTTATTTTGTCGACCTAGAGTTTGGTTGGTAGATTGTTTATTGATAGTTACAGGGGATGGCTGTAAATAGAGTTGAAAAGTAGTAAAGGTCATAAATGACATCACACTCTAAAGGGAGGGGATGGGGGGGGGGGTTACTGGTACTACTTTAAACTGTCAAGCTGCACCAGTGGCCTTTGCCTACCCTACCCCCTCCCCATCAGTGATCATTATCGTAATCATCTATTCCCGTTCAGTGCCCAAGATGCATGGGGTAAATTAAGCAGAGTTCATCTGTTTCAATGACCTTGGCAGTTGAAGGCTAGCACCATGCCCAGTCAAATTTGTTTCCTTAACATCGATGAGTCAGGTACCCGTTGGAGCTGGGTGAACTGCAGTCATGAGTCCATACTAAGATCCCAACTTGAGACCTTTTGGTTATAAGTCAACCATCATATCATTGTAATTGTATCATCTAGATTTGTTTTAAACAGCACTATATGCTAGGGTTACGGTGAGTTATTACAAAGGTGACTAAACTGAGCCAGAGGCATCCTCTGCCACCCTGCCAGTATTGTATTGTTGGGCCTGAGTTCACCCATGATTATCTTTGTTGTATCTGCACAAGGGTGGCCTCCAGCACTCGGACAGTTGAGCGACTTAGAGCACTATGGTGTCTACATTCGTTTTAAAGAGCACCCTACATTAGATGAAGTGTAATTAGTGGCTGCCAAAAGCACCCCAACGCCAAAACACCAGGCATTCTCAGAGGGGAATGTTCTCCCTTCAAATTACTGTTGGTAATAAACTATTTCATACAGCACACCCTGGGGTTCCTGGATGGTAGTGTTAAAAATTGCATGCAAAACTAAGATCAAAGACATACAGCACTGGCATTGTTTACGCAACTGAACAAGGTCAAAGGTCTAAAGATAGGTAATGCATTAATGAAACCCTCTTAAAATGTTGTGTCATTTGGAATTTGCTTTCTTCTGAGATTACAAAATAATAAAGAAAATGCATACTTTAAAACAGCCTTAAGGTTGGTAAGTTTTTTTTTCTCATTAGCGTTATATTTTCCTTGTATAATTTTTAAATGGAGGGGTTGGGGTCCGGGGGTACTGTAATAAAATGGTGATTGAACTGCTCAACAGTACTGTTCATAAAATATTCTCCTTAACCTTTATTAAAAGTTAAATGAATTCTTAACACAGACAAAGCTATGTTTTATGCAATTTTACAATGCTAATAACTTATACAACATTAAAGAACAGCTATTTTAAAAGTGAACTATTCATTAGATAGTTTCTAAATTAAATAGCTTCTAATACAAAGTCAAATGCCTTTTGTGTTTATTAAACCTTCAAATATAGTAAGAGGTTTCAGAGATAAACTAAGAAACCTTGTGGTCAAGCATATGTGACCTAATCATTGGTTCAGACCAAATTGTATTATTTTGCACCTGATATCAAGAAAAAAAATTTCTTTATCACTTATCTCAAAGCTTTAAAATAAGGGAAAAAAAGTAAGTCAAAATGGTAACTCAATTTTAAATAATGTTGGTAATCATATAATATTGATACATGTTGCATTGTTTTCCAAATGCATATTAGGGCATGATCATTTAATTTTTAACATTTTGATAGTAACTAGTAACACTTGTTATCAGCCAAGAAAGTTGCCTGAGACTGGCATAAGAGGAAAGAGTTTTCTGTGGAGGCCCCATGTGTCCTGGGCACTGAAGAAAATACATGATGACTATTTAGCTATCTATCAAAAACTAATTATCCATTTATTGCAACAAGAAACATGGTACCTTAATCTCATTTTACACACTAAACAAAAATCCTTTTATTAATGCTATAAAGGTACAAAAACTATACATCAATCAATTTTCTTAGTTCTAATAAACCGGGAGCGATCTCCCTTAAACTTTCTTGAATATTCTTATATAAAAAAACAGGGGATGGGAACTCGGAATATAGACATGAATTTTAATCCATTTTAAATACTTAAACTTTTAAAAATAGAATAAAATCTCTGTAGAAAAAAGAATTGCGCACCAGTGAACGCCAAATAAAGTGTGCATAATAGTGCGGAATATTATTAGTACTTTTTAAATTTACATTCATTTTTTAGAAATCGGAAATAGCGTAAATTATTACTTCCAGTCAACGGAAATTACTCACAATTCGATAGAAGGTAGAGAATTAGATCTTTTACTTACGTGTGAAATTTCATTTATCTATCTGAAATACTAGTCAAGTTATAGGCTTTTGATAAATTCAAAGTAAAGAAAGTACCACTTCCGGTTATCCGAAATCGCTCAAAAGTTGATACGGAACGACGATTTTGATAAAATACTTCTATGTGAAATTTCATCAACCTAGCTGTAACGGTACTCAAGTTATCGTGTTTACAGACACACACACAGACATACACACAGACATACGGACAAGATTGCAAAGTTATGTTTTTCTTTATCAGTGAGGTGTAAAACGAGATTTCCAAAAATCTCCCAATTTTTTTTTTTGCACGATTACAAGACTTTCTCTATACTTCGTATATACGAGAAAGTAAAAAGGTGGGATTAATGTTGTTTTCTAGAAATTAAAATCTGACAACAAGCTCCCTATAGATATTAGCAACAGTCATTAGAATATACCAAAAGACAATTGTAATTCTACTTAGATTATTACACCCTCTGTTAAGTACTACAGCTAAATATCTATAAAATATGGCTGGTGGTAGTGTCAGTATAGATTCTGGAACCATAAAAAGCAAACGAATTGACTTATTATTATATGTAATGAAGTAGGGTTGATTTATATAACAACTTTAACTTTGTATATAGTTGGCACAGTTTTTACTCTTTCGCATAATGTGAAGAAAATATTAAATCCACGCACATTGCTAAAACATATTAAACAGATCAATGTCAAATAATATTTTGGCTTAGATTCCTAAATTGATACATTTTAATAACAGTAGGGTGGAAAAAACTAATTAATTAAAGTGTTTGATAATTATGCAAGGGGAGGTGATTTAAAAGAAATTCAACTTACTAATAAAATAAAGTGTGAATGCTAATTCCTCAGACGTAAGTGAGGACATTAATGTTGGAATGATATAATTAGCATGGATTGATGAAGTGCAATATGGTAGGTAAAACACAGATATTTAAATACTGCCTTTTATTTATTTTATACACTGAACGTACTGTTTACTAATTATTATTTTTAATCTTCTATCTTTCTGTTTGTGGACAAGCTAAAGGTTATATAAGTTCGTGTTTTCATTTGTTTTTTTGTATTTGCATTGTGTTTGTGTTTTCTTTTGGATTTGAGTTTGCATTGTGTTTGCTTTTAGTTTTGTTCTGTTCCATAGTTGGTACATTTAAAAAGACTCACCGTGGGGGAGCATGGGAATGCAGCTAGTGATACTATAAGACTATTATTATAATAAAAACAGATACAGTACTGCACAACACTTGTTTTGTTATGAAAACAAACTGATGACCCTGGTGTGAATGGCACATTTTGGGGTAATGAAAAATGTGGCTTTTTCTTTAGCTAGTATGAAATTAATTTTGGTACTTTTTACCTGTAACAGCAATCAAACAATTTTTCTTACCTGAGCCATATTAGCAGTGTGATATTCAGCAGTCGAACGAATTCTATCCACCCAAAGTTGTCTTTCTTTAGCATCACTAGCTGTTAAATGTTAGTTAAGTATAATAACCCACCAGGTAAAATTAATATGTCATTGTTAAAATTCATAATTTGTTATTTACTGAACAAATAGGTTTTATCTTTAACACAATTACCAAAAAACAGTAAATCAAAGCAAAAAATACTAATAATAAGGAAATAACAATGTACCTCGAAGCTTAAAAATCTCTCCATTTGCTGCACTAATAATAAATGTCTGGGAATCTTCCTCTGATGGAGATACTACAGCTGCCTGTGTTAAAGATTTTTAGATACTATTTTAAATAAAACAAACATTAAAACCTTTATAACAATAAGCTTTCAGGTGAACTTAAAATTTAAAAAATGAAAATCAGTATCTATTCTTTTGTTATTGAATGTAGTAATCTGTAACTTTTTACAGTCCTATGCACCCACGGTCGCCCAAAAAAAATGTTGTGTAGTACAGTTTGGTGTGCCCGCAGTTGCAAGAACTATATACAGTATGGTACATTTATTTACACATAGTAACAGAAGTCTTATTGGTAACGAGATTTTTAAGATACCTGCTATTTTAATTTATTACTATTTTCTACAATTTTTCTTAAGTTAAGAATTTTATTTTTCAAAATTATGTGCTCTATTTTTTAATTTATAATGTAGCTAATACATAAAATTTTGTGGTTATTTTTAATTATTTAAAATATTTTTTATATAAGCGCCGTGGTTGAAAATGAGCAGTTTTTTTTTCGCCTGGCTGTAAGGGAAGTAAAATAGTTTTGATGCCCTGGATGGTAGAGGGTTAAATTAATTTTTAATGAGTAGGTCAAAACTTACTTACAAATTGACCACAATACCACATATGGGCATCAACTAAATAAAAGCTTATAAAAAGGGAGAAAACATTTAAAAACTGTAACAGAATTACTGATGAATATAATAATAAAACAGTATTTTTTAAAGAATTTACATACCGCAAGATGAATGGATCCTCTAGGTCTTAGTTTTTTATGCTCCTCTTTCTACATTAATAAAAGTAAAAATGAATGGGATTTTTAAGACTTCAAAAATAGTTAAAATAGGTAATGCAAAAGGGTCTTAAAAGATTTTTTTTTGTGAATGAGAAAATGTATAATGATTTTGTTTGCAGAAAAAAACAATTTTACCTAATTAAACATTGAAATAAAGCAGAAATTAAACCCACCAATCATAGTTGAATTGGTAATAAAAATAACTATGCCTAAGGGCATGGGCAGGTGATGAATACCCAGTTAGCCAAAATGCTTATTTATAAAACTAATACTATCATTTATCGTATCTAGCATATAGTTACAACTAAAAGTGTTAAGTCTAAAAAATAAAAAATTGCCGAAAATGTCCTGCCGGTGACATGGTGATGGCAGCCATCTAGGTATTTTCTTACCATTTTAACATTGAAATAAACTTTCTTAATTATTAGTAAAATTGATCAACATTTTCTCAAGTTATTGTGTATACATATACCAATAAAACTTTTAGAACAAATTTTTGAAAACTTGTCTGGTTTTTCTTTTATAGTTATAGTTTTTTTGCAAAAATTAGGATTATTACTTTCTAATATATATAAAGTATAGAGAAAGTACTGTAATCGTGCAAAAAACAAAGCTTAGCAATCTTGTCTGTATTCTGTGTGTGTGTGTATGTGTGTCTGTAAACACGATAATTTGAGTATCGTTACAGCTAGGTTGATGACATTTCATATATAAGTATTATATCAAATTTGTAGATCTGTATCAACTTTTCAGCTATTTCCAATAACCGGAAGTGGAACTTTTTCTACTTTCAATTTTTCAAAAGCCTATAACTTGAGTACTATTTCAGATAGATAAATGAAATTTCTTGTATCAGTCAAAGATCTAATTCTCTCCCTTCTATCAAATTTTGAGTAACTTCTTTTGACTGTTGATTTCTCAAAAAACGCACGTGAATTTATAAAGTACTAATAATATTCCGCACTATTATACACATTTTATTTGGCGTTAGCTTGGTATGCTACGAGATTCTATTCTATTTTAAAAAGTTTAAGTAATTAAAAATGGATTTAAAATATTGTCTATTTCCAGAGTTGCCATCCCCCGTAGTGTTACACCGCGTTTACACTTACATGTATACTAGACTTGACCTACTAAAGTGTTTTCTAAACATGTTACGAGTATATGGAACATCTTCTGAGTCGCAGGGCACAAAACCACGCCCCTTTTTATGTTCTGGGTCAAGTTTTTGTCTTCGCTCGCTGGGCGAAAACATAGGACATGTTCTGAATTTTCAGTTGAGTGCGCATGCGTCGAAAAGTAGTAAGCGCATCCTAGGTATCAGCTGATTGCAAAACTAAATAAACTGATCTTGAGTTTTTGAGCACACGACTTCATGATTTATAACTTCTCTAGGCCCTGCTAAAAATTACATTTTTATAATTGCTTATTATTTCTTTAATTAAATCCCAAACACGTTTTAATGAAAAAAGTTAACGTCTAAGGCATTACAATTTTTCATTTAAACCAGTTTAGGTATTAATTACGAAAATAATAATTAATTAAAAAATATAATGTAACCAAATTTAACCAATATTTTGTTTTAAGAGTATAAACATATTTTCAGTTTCCGTCTGACATGAATAAATCTATAGGCCCTCCAGAATGTGCTCGTGGGATCACACAATCAACTGACGATAAAAACTGGCAGACAAAAAGTCAAAGGCTAATTCTTTAGGTTTAAAATGGGACATAATTAACATAAAGAAACTAGGGGCGGGGAGGTGAGGGGGGAATGAGTGTCACAGGCCCTAATCTAAAAACTAGATCCTCTTTTTTTCTTAATAATAGACTTAGTTATAACGCGATCTCAATACGTTTAATGAACTTGGCAGATGCAAGTTTTCGAAGAAATCGGGCCTTTCAGCACGATATAGACAAGCAAAGAAGCTGGGGAAATAGCTACCATGGGGTTGGGGTGGGAAGGGATTATTGTACTGTGGGATGGGTAATGTCTACGACCTTGGTATTATACACAGCATTATATAAAAAAAAAGTCTAGCTCCAGTTGCTAAAATCTTGCATGTTATCTAATTTTTAGATAATTAATTGTAGAATCGCAAGCCCTGTGGCTACAACATTTTCCTTTTTAAAAAAATAAAGCTGCGTGCCCACTATCTATGTTTTTTTATACTTTGATTACTCTTTATTTTAATTATCTGGGTCTTTATAGCAGACGCTCCGGGTCAAAGGTGATGTATGTTTTATAAAATGTTCAGTAAGTGTGAATGCTAAAGTATACATGTTCTGTGGATAAAATTGTTCCAGATAAAAATAATTTTTGGCAGGCATTGTGTTCCAGAAATGTTTAGCATACATGTCGTAAGTGTAAACGCGGTGTTGTATAAGTATATTCGAGAACGTTTAAAGGAGATCACTCACGATTTATTTCAAAAGTGATTTTCAGAAAAAAAAAATATAGAAACAAAAGTATTTTTAAATTTGAAAATGTCATCTATCAGAACTTATGTTTTTATTGAATTAGCATAAGCCATCTTTGAGTTATTTCGATGTAAAAATGTAAATAAAATCCAAGATGGCCGCTATCACCATGACAATGGCAGGAGATTTTTGCCAAATTTTTAAATTTTAGACTTAACTCTTTGAGTTATACTCTATGCTAAATATTATAGTATTAGGTTTAGGATTAAACATTTTGGCTAATTTTGTTTTTATCACCCGCCCATGCCCTTAAGCTTTGATCTAAAATGAAAATAAACTTTCTTTAGCAAATATTAAATCTCCCCATTTCTTTTGCTACTAGGGCCTATAGAAATTTATTTTTTTTATGTATAGAATTCAAACAATAGTCAAGTGTAAAAATTGAAGGTGCCATATGCAATGTAAATGGAGCTTTTGTTCTGAAAAGCATAAGCAATATTTTAAACAAGTTAAAATTACCTCAAAATATTCCAGCATGCCTGAATCTGGATTTAAAACAAACCATCTATACTGGAAACCCTTCACAACATTTGTAAACTTAAGAATCTGGCCTTCCATTGGTGCTCTTCCTGATATGGATCTAGAATTATAAAATTTGCACATCATTATTTAAAAGGTTTTTCTGTTTTAGAAATTACAAAAATCATGAATTATTATAAAATATTAGATTGAGTATTAAAACTTACTCATATACAGAATAATTCATAAAACAAAAATTTACCCAGCTAAATATTTGTTCACTTTCTGTATTTTAGCTTCTTCAATTGCTTCGAATTCCTGAAAAATAATAATTAGTGCCAAATCAGTCATTGCCTTATATTTATTGTATTTATATTTTCAGAATAAATCTAGAATGGTATATAGATCTTATATATATATATATATATATATATATATATATATATATATATATATATATATATATATATATATATATATATATATATATATATATATATATACTCTTAAACTGAATAAAAATAATACAGAGTACCATTTTTTGTTAGATTATGACTGATACCCTTTAAGTTGCGTGCGGCACAACTATAAACAGGTTTCAAATTACCCATTAACCAATGTTAATAAAATGTGGTTATTGTCTGTAACTATAGCAAAGTTTTAAAAAACCCAAAAACAATTAGATTTTTTTTTCATTTCTTAAAATCACGGAATGTAAATAAACATGGCATAAACAGGTAGTGTGGTTTTCACAAGAACGTATGAAAACCACTCATGCGTGACCAAAATCGTCGATCGGGTGCCTTCACGTGGTTTGACATGTTGACCCAGGCCTTTGTTTACATCCTAACATCACACAAAACGGTCTTTTTGTTTAAAAACATTCTTCTAAAAAATGACTGTTTACATTCAAACATCACACAAAACAGTCCTTTTTTTAAAAAAAAACCTTCTAAAAATTGACTATGTCCAATTTTTTTAGGGGATTATTTTTGGCCCATTTTGAAAAACGTAAAAAAAATCCTAACTACATGGAGAAAAAAATCATCTTTTTGGAAGATGATGTTGAGTTCTTTCCATAGTGTAAACATGTGGTGTCATAGTTTATTGCGTTCTTGTTACAACTATTAACGCTTTTCCGGTTGTATAATTAAAATTGCGTTTCTACATTTGAATGCCTTTATTTTTATTCTTTAAATAAAATTTAGGTCATACATTTAACACATCTAACATAAAAAAAAATTTATTATATTTAACAAAAGTCAGTATCAAGTTCTCCATATATCGCTGAAGATACTGATCTCATATCAAGTGAAAGTATTTTGCGGACAGAGAGAGAGAAATGCGCACATGGGCTTTTATATATTCGGATAACTGGCCAGGCCATGCACTGGCCTCTGTGAAAAACCTATCTGTAAAGGACCACGACTTGTGTATTTAAGTAATCAGCATATACCCCCATTGCCCACATAACCACAACAAACCAAAACAAAAACAAAAAAGAAACCCGCAAACATAACACAAACTTAAACACAATTACAAACACAATTACAAACACAAATAAAACACAAATGCAATTGAAAATGCGAACGAAAACAAACCCAAATCCAAAAATAAACGCAAAGTGCTCACAGTCTAGCCCAGGGCGCCAAATCGCACCATGCCTGTTTCAGCTTAGTAAACCACTATAGCAAACCAACTTATTCATAGTTTTTTGCACTCACTTAAACAAATGAATGTAGGTGCCAAAGCAAACACAGGAAGACCTGTGGTACCAAATAACACCCTGTCTGGGCAATGTCATCTGATGGAAACTTTGAAGCTATTAAACATAAACATGGCCCTTGAAAGGAAGTACGCTGCTAAATGTACTGTTAAAATGTCTGCTTAAAAAAAGGTATGCACTATGGTGACGTAAAAAAAGACAACGTTCATCATGCTTGATGCGACAAACGAAAATTGAATTCCCCTTTCGTGCTCAAAAAAAGACAGATTTAAATTAATTCCCTACACAAATATTAATAATTGTATTATTTTATGTTCAAAACTCATAAAAAATATTGTTCTGCAACACTAGGTAATGAACGATACAATAATAAACATAAACAATAACACTCGCTATTCCATTAGAATATTTAGTTATGCCTTATTTCAATGTACTGCCTATTAACTTGTCTATCCCAAATTGCAACATTCAACTTGATGGTGGAGATCACAAAGAAACTAAACGAGCTAAATCTAAAACTGCATGGAAAGGAAAACCCAGCATGTGCCTTGCTTGGATAAGATGATTGTTTTGTGAAGACCTGGAATTACTTTATTTCGAAAAATCTGAAAAAAATATCATAATAAAACCAACGCTACTATTAACATGAATCACTTCAGCATTGCTATAAAAAAAATGAAGGATGGATTCACTGAGAGATTTAAGCAATTCAAAAGAAATGCAAGTACTCTGACGATCTTATTCATAGTAAATTCTCTCAACACAAAAACAAATTAGATTAACTTTGAGCTATTTGGAATTGATGCTGGTTCGCTTCAAATTAAATTGCTAGATTTGAAAGCGAAACATTTGTGGATTGGTAAGTTCACAGATCTCAAGAGCAAGTTAGATGATTTGGAGGTCCAGTAAAACATGCACGTTTCACTGGTCAACTGGACAGCTCTAAAAGAAACGCCGCGAGTTGAGGCCCTACTATGTGATGCATGGATTAGTCTTGAAGGATGTTATAGGGCTGGTAAGAAGGTCACCAACCAGTTCTATGGCTCAATAAAACCTGCATGAGCCATAGAACTGGTTGATGACTTACTTACCAGCCCTATAGTAAGATGAAGAATTTGGCATTTGGAGTGCTGACGATCTTCGGGTCAACATATTCATGCGAGCAAGCGTTTTCTTGCATCAATATAACACAAAGTATAAAAGCCAACTGACAAATAAAAATCTAGAGGCGTGCTTGAAACTGAAAACAAGTTATTAGCCAAGTTTAATTTAAACAAACTTTCAAAAGGCATGCAAGGCGAAACTGTTGTAAATAGTATTCAATAATCTAAGTAATATACTTTGAGTTTGATTACTGATTTTATTATTCTAGCAGAGCTAGATACAATACTTTAATATATGTATTTATTTGAATAAATATTATTTCATATTTAAAAACAATGTTATATATATATATATATATATATATATATATATATATATATATATATATATATATATATATATATATATATATATATATATATATATATATATATATAAAATCCTAATTAAATATCATAATATAAAAATGTTAGTGTCTCTTTAAAAACTGGGATATTTGGTAAATTGTAACTTTTGGCTCTTCCATCCCTAAAGGTTGCCGACCCCTGTTCTTGAATTAACGCCATACTGTATTGGGACTGGATTGGCACACGCTTGCTCGCTGACAAAAGAATGCAAGTGAACGAATTGGCATGAGTTTTCTGCTCACAGGTGATCAACTTCAACTTGATAGGCAGAGTCTAACAATTTTTAAAAAGGTCTAAGTCTAGATTCTAGATCTTGACACAAATCTTTAATATTAAAACTTGTAGTTTGTCTAGTGTAACAATGTGGTAACATTTGGAAAAAGGAAACAGCATTCATGTAATTAATTATGGTAATTGTCTCTAATCTATATATATAATTCTCTTCTGGGATCAGTTAGAAAACAAGCTGCAAGCGCTTTTGCAGTCCCCTCTCTTCCTCTCTATCACTATCACTACCACCCCACCCCCACATGATCTGGTGAGCGGTGTTCACTCTGTTTACATTTTACAATCAGAGAGACGGGTTTGGTGACGGCTATTAGGGGCAGATAATTGAGTTTGAAACGATTTTAAACTTAGAGGAGGTAACTAAGAGGAGGCTGCTTTCACATGGGGGGGGGGGGGGGGTTTAGTGTTTTTAAGCAAATATTTTCAATGGCAGCATTGGTACTGTCGAATTCACAAATTATAAATGACTGAAAAGTAGAAAAAAAAACAACTAAATAGCGGCGTATGATACGCAGTGGGTCGGCTCGTACATATTAATCTAAGAACTGTCTGGCACTCTCACTCGGTGGTCTGTCGTTTTTTGTGGCAGTTCTCAGAATCTGCGAGATTAGCAGTTTTTTCATTTGTCGTAGATCAGACCCTTAAAATAAACGTAAAAAACCAGAGCGTGTGTTTCAGGGTTAGATGTAATTTCCGGTTTTGGTAAGGACAGGAGACAGACAACAATGTTTGAGTTACTCTACTTTGTATCTAATCTAGATCTAGTATATTGTAATTGCAGTCATTTTCATCTGTTAAAATTACAATTGGTATTAGAGTATTAGTACAGGATGGAGAGCTGGAGTGGTTTTTTTTCCTGACAGATTTTATCAAGATAGATCTACTTCAAGCTGAAATTGAATATTTAAATTACTTTACCTTACTTATACTACATTAAACTACATTTGCTTTATCTTTTAAGAGTTTAAAATTAATGTGTGCCTTTTGTGTCTTAGCTTTTTATCCATTCAGCTCTACTCTGTTATAATTAAAAAGTGTATTAATTGGTTTAGGCCGCAATTGCGCGGTTCGCTCCGCGTTACGCTAAATCTTTACCCTAGGTAGCATGCGATATAAAAAATAGGTATCATGATGATAGTCCTAGATCTAGCTAAATCAAACTGCTCTTTAGTCAATTGTTTTTACAGCTACAGTGTGATAGTAGATCTAATTCTATATTATTAAGCCTATGTGGTGATTTAATGTGAACTTTAAAAAATGACAAGAAATAGCAAAGAAGGTCTGTTTTTCAATTTGCTTGAATACAGGGGAGATGGGGGGGGGGGGGGTGGGGGGGAAGGAGAGAGAGAAAAGTGAAGGCACCGACAATCTCGTGAATTTGTGCTCTCTCTATGACGTGTACTGCTGAACTCACCGACCTTGGTGGGATTTTTCAACCATGGGATAGTAAATGTAAGCAAGCAATCACACAAGTGACGATGTTTTGAAATTGTATTTTAAAAAATCACACGTCATGTTTTCAATATGAAAAAAACCAAATGTAAAAAAAGACACTAATACCGGTCATGCTAACCCTGGGACCCGGGTTTGAACTCGGAGCTTCATGTCTACGAACTGTATTTTTTTTTATAGACTATCATATTATTTTAAGCATGAATATTCAATAGGCCTATTGTCTTCCCATATTTAAAATTAGAATTTCAAATATAAATATTTATTATGGTCATATGATTTATGCAAGTGTTCAATATTTATAAATGGTATTAATAACATCTAGAATCTAGAGTAGAATT